ATTTTTGTGAATTTTCCAATTTTTCAATTTTTTATTGATTTTCCAAAATTTCCAAAATTTTTTATTTGTATTTTCCGAATTTTCGAAATTTTTATGAATTTTCTGAAATTTTTTGTATTTTTCTGAATTTTCTGTAATTTTTATGATTTTTGTGATTTTTTAGAATTTTCTAATTTTTATTGATTTTTTTAATTATTTTTTTATTATTTTTGAATTTTCCCGCCGGGGAACGAACCAGACCGGACTGGTTCAGACCGATTCGGCCGAGACCGAACCGGCCGTCGCCGGCGCCGGTCGCCGGTTACCCCCCTCCGGCGAACCCAACGCCGAAACGGTGTCGTTTGGGTGTTTTTCATTGTGGCATTTCTTCAAACAGTTGGTGTGCACAATTTCCAGTGTAGGGTTCTCGAGACCGCCGGTTCGGGCTCACCGCCGGCGACCCTCCGGCGACCTTTTGGCCATTCTGATTACACCATGATGATGTTCACTTGTTCTATTTTCAATCTAGACTAATTAGGTCACCGCCGGACCTTCGCCGGCCGGCGAAAAATCGGTCCAAAAATCCTAACTTGTAAACTGTTCAAGCATGATTTCCAGAATACAAATCTCAATCTTGATCGCCCTAGCCGTCTAAATCGGTTCTAACAACTATCAAATCATCAAACAAAAGTCAAAGAACTAACCTGAATGGCCTCACGGCCACGGCAATGCTCCGGCGATGGGTTTAATGGTGAGGCCGACTCGGTTCATGCATCTTTAGTACCCAAAAACACAATCAAACCACATGAAACTGATTAGAAACTAATAATGGACATCAAAATGTCAAGATTCGTCAATGAAATCACTTAAAAATGCACATTGAAACAAAAATCAAATTCTGGAAAATTCTTAACAAACTGATCACGAACGATTTTTACCTGGTTCGTTCGACGATCAAACAAAATTTTTGAACTGATCGGAGCTTGAAGGATTGTCCCTTGACTCTCGGTCTTTTCCCCGGTGGTCTCGGTCTCGCCGGAACAGGTCCTAATCGACCGGACGGCGCTTAGTTTCTGGTCTTCACGATCAGATTTTCTCGGTTGGAATGACGAGGGGAAGTCACGGCCAACTCGCGATTCGCCGGCGCCCCGCCGTCTAGGGCGGTGCCGAACACTCGTGGGGGGATCTTTGACCCTCTCTCTCTAGTTCTCTGTTGATGTATAAAGGCTGCACTATCTATTTTCTGTTAAGTCAGTTTGCAGATGTCTTGGAGTTAATTAGTCGTTGTTTTACTTGGTCAGTCCTATTTTGTAGGAGTGTTTAGCTGCATTTTTTTTTAACTGTTCTGTTAGTTAGTGGGCAACGTGTAGTTAGTGGGCAAGCTGTTAGTTAGTGGGCAAAGTGTAGTTAGTGGGCAACGTGTGTTTATGGAAAAGCTTTAGTTTTGTATTTAAGCAATTTCAGTTTTCTGAATATGAAGTGAAGTTCCCTTCCAATACATTTTGTCTTGCTGCAAAATACAGATTTTGCTGTCAATTCTCCTTCTGTTCTTTAAAAAAACAACATTGGTATCAGAGCCTTCTTGATCTTAAGGGGCTGTGAGTGACTTGTGAGATTGATTGAGAGGTGTATCTGCATCCATAGAAGCTGAAGGCAAAATGGAGGCAGGATCGAGTGGTTTTTCAGCAATGGCTCCACCAGTGTTTGATGGAGAAAATTATCAAGCCTGGGCAGTGAGAATGCGAGCCTATCTAGAGGGTTGTGATTTTTGGGAAGCTGTGGAACAAGATTATGAAGTTGTTCCCCTTCCTGACAATCCAACTATTAATCAAATCAAGTATCACAAGGAGAGGACAACAAGGAAAGCAAAGGCAAAGTCTTGTTTATATGCTGCTGTCTCACCTGCCATTTTTAGCAGAATTATGGCTTGCGAATTAGCCAAAGCTATTTGGGACTTCCTCAAAGCTGAGATCAAGGAGATGAGAGGATCAGAAGCATGAAGGGGCTAAATTTGATTACAGAATTCGAGAGATTGCAGTTGAAGCAGTCTGAGACAATTAAGGAGTATTCTGATAAGTTGATAAGCATTGCAAATCAAGCAAGAGTTCTAGGCACTGACCTCTCTGATAATAGGCTAGTGCAAAAGATTCTTGTCTCCTTGCCTGAAAGGTTTAAGGCAACCATTGCCTCTTTGGAGAATACCAAGGATTTGTCTCAGATCAAGTTGGCAGAATTGCTAAGTGCTCTACAAGCACAAGAGCAGAGGAGGTTAATGAGGCTAGAAGGAAGTATAGAAGGAGCTTTGCAGGCCAAAGAACAGCAAAATGTAGGAGGGAAAGGCAAGAAGTGGAAAGGGAAGAAAGGGAATGGCAGTAGTGGTTCAGAAGCTGCTGCAGGAGAGAACAGTGCAGGCAACTCCAAGAACAATTGGAGAAGGTATTCCTCATGTCAGCACTGTGGAAAACAGAATCATCCACACTTTAGGTGTTGGAAGAGGCCAGATGTAAGGTGCAGAAAATGTCATAAGCTTGGACACATTGAGAAGTTGTGCAAAGAGAAGGGTAATCAGCAGCAAGGTGAGGCACATGCTGCAGTCCAGCAAGAGGTAGATCAATTGTTTGTTGCCTCTTGCTTCTCCTCTAGTACTCCATGTGACAGTTGGCTTGTTGATAGTGGTTGCACAAACCACATGACAAGTGATGAAAAGCTATATTATAGACCTTGACAAGTCATTGAAGTCAAGAGTGAGGATTGGGAATGGGGAGTACTTAGAAGTGAAAGGTAAAGGGACTGTAGCAATAGAGAGTTGTGCTGGAACTAAGCTGGTTTCTGATGTGATGTATGTGCCTGAGATTGATCAGAATTTGCTGAGTGTGGGGCAGTTGGTAGAAAAGGGATTTAAGGTGATATTTGAAGAGGGGAAATGTTTGATCTTTGACTCCAGTGGTCAGGAGCTGTTCAAGATAAAGATGCAACTGAAGAGTTTTTCTCTGAATCCTCTCGAGAAGGAGCAGGTGGCATTCAAGTGTCAGGCCAGTGATTCAGAGATATGGCACAAGAGGTTGGGCCACTTTCATCACAAAGGCTTGCTGTTCATGCAGAGGAATGAAATGGCAACTGGGTTACCAAGCCTGAAGGAGCATATCACAAGGTGCAAGACTTGTTTGCTGGGCAAGCAGACAAGACTTCCCTTCAAGGAATCCACTTGGAGAGCTACAGAGAAGCTGCAGCTGATTCATACAGATCTCTGTGGTCCACAAGTGACTCCTTCACTAAATGGCAGCAGGTATTTCATTATTTTCATTGATGATTATACTAGAATGTGCTGGATTTACTTCATGAAGCAAAAGTCAGAAGTTGCTGAGGTATTTTTGAAGTTTAAGAGATGGGTTGAGAACTAAAGTGGCTGCAGACTCAGGTCATCAGATCTGATAATGGAACAGAATACACTTCACAAAGGTTCAACTCTTTCTGTGAAGAGGCTGGCATTGAGCACCAGCTTACTGCTCCTTACTCTCCACAGCAAAATGGAGTTAGTGAGAGGAAGAATAGAACCATTATGGAGATGACTAGGTGTCTGCTGCATGACAGGAATCTACCAAAAGAATTTTGGGCAGAAGCAGCAAACACAACAGTTTTTCTACTGAATAGACTGCCTACAAGGGTATTGGAGAAGAAGACACCCTTTGAAGCCTGGTTTGGTGTCAAGCCAATTCTAAGCAATTTGAAGGTGTTTGGCTGTCTATGTTTTTCTCATATTCCGCAGGTCAAGAGAGACAAGCTGGGAGAGAAAGCTGAACCTGGGATCTTTGTTGGCTACAGTTTAGTGTCAAAAGCCTATAGGATCTATCAACCACAAACAGGGAAGGTGATCACTAGCAGGGATGTTCAGTTCCTGGAAGATGAGCAATGGGACTGGACAGATGAGCCACAAGGCAAGCACAAGGAGGTCTCACTGGAACTTGACGAGCTGGTGGATGATGTTCCAGTTAGAGGTACCAAATCTCTGACTGATATATATCAGAGGTGCAGTGTGGCTGTTTTGGAACCTGCAGGTTATGAGGAAGCTAAAAGTGATTAGAGGTGGATGAATGCAATGAAGGAAGAGTTGGCTATGATAGAAAAGAACTAGACATGAGAGCTAGTGGAGAAGCTTGAAGACAAGAAGGTAATTGGAGTAAAATGGGTTTTCAGGACCAAACTCAATCCTAATGGCTCAGTGAATAAGCATAAAGCCAGGTTGGTGGTGAAGGGATATGCACGGGTTTGGGGAGTTGATTTCTCAGAAACCTTTGCTCCTGTGGCAAGACTGGATACAATTAGAATGACTCTTGCTATGGCAGCTTAACAAGGGTGGAAGGTGTATCAGTTAGATGTGAAATCTGCATTTTTGAATGGAGTGTTGCAGGAGGAGATTTATGTTGAGCAGCCAGAAGGCTTTGTCGCACCAGGCCAGGAGGAGAAAGTTTATTTGCTAAGAAAGGCTCTCTATGGCTTGAGGCAAGCTCCAAGAGCATGGTACAGTAAGATGGATGAGCACTTACTAGGCCTGGGTTTCAAGAAAAGCCTCAGTGAATCCACTCTATATGTCAAGAAGTTAGTATCTGACTTAGTGGTGGTGTCTCTTTATGTGGATGATATGCTGGTGACAGGGAGTAGTAGTGCTCAAATTACTGCATTTTAAGCAAGAGATGATGAAGATGTTTGAAATGACTGATCTTGGTGAGATGTCGTATTTTCTGGGGATGGAGGTTAGGCAGACTCAGAATGCAGTTTTTATCTGTCAGAAGAAGTACATGAAGGAGATCCTGAAGAGATTCAATATGGAGGAGTGCAAGAGTGTGAGTACTCCAATGGGTCAGAAGGAAAAGCTTCAAAAGAAGGATGGATAAGAACCTACAGATGAAAGAGTTTATAGAAGTTTGATTGGATGTCTTATGTATCTCACTGCAACTAGGCCAGACATCCTGTTTAGTGTAAGTGTCTTGTCTAGATTCCTTAATTGTGCGAGTGAGTTGCATATGGTAGCTGCAAAGAGGGTGTTGAGGTACTTGAAAGGTACTCTTTCATATGGAATTAAGTTCTGCAAAATTCAAGAGTTTAAGTTGTAGGGGTATTCTGATAGTGACTGGGCAGGATCAATAGATGATATGAGAAGTACTTCAGGGTATTGCTTTACATTTGGGTCGGCATGTTTTTCCTGGTGTTCAAAGAAGCAGGAAATAGTGGCTCAATCAACTGCAGAAGCTGAGTTCATTGCAGCTACTGCAGCTGTGAATCAAGCATTATGGTTAAAGAAGCTGATGGATGATCTGCATTTGGAGCAAGAAGAAGGCATAGAAGTATTTGTGGATAATCAAGCTACTCTGGCCATTTCACAGAATCCAGTATTTCATGGAAAAACAAAGCATTTTAAGGTCAGGTATTACTTCTTGAGAGAAGTGCAGAAGGCTGGAGAGGTGAAGTTGGTGTACTGTAGTTCAGAAAACCAAATTGCAGATATATTCACTAAGTCATTTCATGTTGGTCGATTTGAACTTCTTAGGGCAAAGCTAGGAGTGTGCAGCACTTGATCCAGGAGGAGAGTGTTGATGTATAAAGGCTGCACTATCTATTTTCTGTTAAGTCAGTTTGCAGATGTCCTAGAGTTAATCAGTCGTTGTTTTACTTGGTCAGTCCTATTTTGTAGGAGTGTTTAGCTGCATTTTTTTTAATTGTTCTGTTAGTTAGTGGGCAACGTGAAGTTAGTGGGCAAGCTGTTAGTTAGTGGGCAAAGTGTAGTTAGTGGGCAACGTGTGTTTATGGAAAAGCTTTAGTTTTGTATTTAACCAATTTCAGTTTTCTGAATATGAAGTGAAGTTCCCTTCCAATACATTCTGTCTTGCTGCAAAATACAGATTTTGCTGTCAATTCTCCTTCAGTTCTTTAAAAAAACAACATCTCTCTTCGATTTTGCCCCTTTCTCTCTAGTTCTCTCTCTTCGATTTCGCCTTCGAATCGGTTTGGGTTGTTGACCGATGCTAGCTGGATAATACCCAGCTGGAAAAGTCGATTAAAACGTGCTCAAATAACTGGAACATGATCGATGAAGTCGCGGGTTTGAATCGGTTTTTCTGGGTTTATCGCAGGTTGGGCGACCGGGCGAAGAAGATGAACTGTTCGGGTCGGGTCGGGTCGACCCGCTCGACCCGGCAGTTCCGATTTTGCATAAATTCGCAAATTAAGTCTGATTTCCACCAAATTTTTGAAATTCGACCCCAAAATGGAATTTTCCATTATATTCCGAACCCAAACATATAATTTTCCCCAATTTTTATTATAATTATGCCCAAGATTTTCTCATTTTTATATTCGGGTTAATAGGATTTTGTTTAATTTGATGTCCTAATGACCTGATTAGGAAAAATTGATGCCAAAAATGAATTACCCACCCCTGATTAACCCTAGAAATGATAGTCTCACATTTCGACAATTTCATTTTGGGCAAGATTCCCAATTTGGGTTCAAAATTCTTAATTTTCAATCAAATTTTGGGGAATTTTGATTTTTATGTCAAATTGTGCAATTGGACCGACCATTATACAATTAAAGGTCCCAGAATCAATTGTTGTGAAGACACTATGACTTAAAAATGTCTATAAAAAATTTAATTCATTTTTGGTTCAATTCGGGTTTAATTTTGCCCAATTTTGGGAAAAAACATATACCCGATTGAGATTTTCTAAAATTGACAGTGTATTTATGAAATTGGATTTAAAATAAGACTAATGACTATTTTTATGGAATTTTCTGATTCCAATTACTATTTTTCTTGATTTTCTTGCTTATTTTGACTAAAACAAATTAAGAAAAAATGCAGAAAAATGCTAAAAAATTATTTTTTGGTTTATAAATAGGTTTCTAGTCTTGGCCAAGATCCCTAGACCTAATTTTGAAATTTTTGAAAATATGACAAAAATGAGCTAAAAATTAGGTGTCAACATTTATGAAATGGTCAGCTCCTCAGCTCAACTTCAAAAGCTGCTTTGGTCATGCAGGGGTTTGTAGCCGGAATATACTTGGTCCTCTTCGCTGCTTCGTCAACTTTACTAAGCCATGGAATCGTTGCAGCACCACCCTCATACAATGTGATAAACTATGGTGCAATTGGAAATGGAGTCAGTGATGATACTCAAGTACATTTTTTTTTTCTTAATTTCTCCCCTTTTCTTCCTCCTATTGAAAAAAAAACCCGTGTTTTCTTCTCGTTGTTTCTTTGTTATTAGATTGATTTGTTCGTGTTTATGCGATGATTTCCTTTTCCTTTTCTTTTTAGGCCTTTGTCAAAGCTTGGGGAAATACATGTGGAGACAGTGGAGCACAAGGCACACCAACTTTAGTTGTTCCTGGTGGGAAGAAGTTTAAACTCTCTCCTGTCTTTTTCAAAGGCCCATGCAAGTCTTCAAAAATATTCGTTCAGGTAAGAGGGAGAAAGATCTCGGAGGATCAATTTTTTTTGGCCAATGATTTTTTGAGTGAATTCCATGCCAAAATCATTAGGAAATTGTTAGGCAAAACTCATTCGAGGCCAACAATGTCATTGTCGAAATCAGCAGCAACAATTAGATGCGTGAGGCTCTCCGTCATTTTTTGTTGTGTCATGATGCATGTCAGATTGTCTCTCAAACTTTTTGACCATATTTATGTCGTACGATGAATCCACGCAATACGAGTTCCAACTTGAAGAAATAACTTGATTGAGTACATCGAAAAGAGCTTACTTTCCAACTTTTTAAGGGTAAAAGAACCTCATTTCTTGTTAAGATTTTTTAAACTGAGCGTTCATTTAACGGTTTGAACGTTTACATTTATAAGTTTGAAGTAATTAATTATTAGTAAAGCTTTTTCCATTGCCACACCGTCCTTGATATGGCATAAAGTACACGATTCTCTTTTTTGGGAGAACAGATTGATGGGACTTTAGTTGCTCCTAGTTCACTAAGTGGATGGAAAGGCTGCTTCGCGGATAGCTGGTTGGTTTTCCGAGACGTGGCCAATCTCAATGTCAAAGGATCAGGACAAGTCGACGGTCAGGGCTCACTCTGGTGGGGTGGAGCTAAGGTCAGTCAACACACATCATCACGTATCCATAAGTGCAATGTCAATACATGTTTGTGCATAAGTTCAACGTTACTTTTCATTGTCAAATATTTATGCAATCTAAACGGAATTATGATTTTCATCTGTAGGGATCGACGGGCTGCGAGAATAGACCAACCGTAAGAAGCCATTGTCCAACGCCTTGAACTGATTTAAGATTTTTCTATTAGCAGATATAGTGGTGGATATGAGAGCATGATAACTTACATGATGTTCTATATCTCCATAAATCTTGGAACTTTTGCTTGCATTGTGTTGTTCGGTCTACTTTTCCAATTTGTTTTTTTGGATGACAATAACAAGAAAACTGTGTTCGTAGGCCTTGGCCTTCTTCCGTTGCTTCAATCTGGTGCTAAGCGGACTGCAACACATTAACAGTCCGAGGAACCACATCTCCATCAGTGGTTGTGATGGTGGCACCATCTCCAGTCTCCGAATAACTGCACCTGGAACTAGCCCTAACACAGATGGAATCGACATTGCTGGCACCAACCACCTTAACATCCACGACCTTAATATTCAAACAGGTAAAGAAGCTCTGATTTTATTGCGGTGAAGTTTCTTCGTACATGGTGATGATTTGTTGCACAATGCTATGCAATATAGGGGACGATTGCATCGCTATTATTGGCAACTCCAGCTATATTACTATCACCGGAGTGTCCTGCGGACCTGGCCATGGTATAAGGTCAGCTGCCGTGTTGTCAGTATGGTCGAGATGTGCCTGATTTGATCCGAACTAATAGTCAGCATATAAACATTTGAAATCTGATGGGTTGTGTATCTATGCATGTGTAGCGTTGGAAGCTTAGGTACACATGGAACCCGCGACACAGTCGAAGAGGTACATGTGCGCAATTGCACCTTCACTGGATCTACGAATGGAGCAAGGATCAAGACTTGGCAGGTGATCATGGGCTATATAGCTTAAAAAAGAATGATGATAGATCTCAAGGAAGAACAAACACGATTACATAGATCTCTTACTCTTTTCCGTTTGCTCCCATTAACCTATCTCCTGTTCTTCATATGTATACAGGTTGGTTCGGGATACGCCAAGAGTATCATTTTCGATCAAATCACGCTCAACGCGGTGAAGAATCCAATTATCATCAACCAATTCTATACCAACGCAGTAGCTGAAGAGAATGCGGTAATCTCACGTAGAAATTACGAACATGTTTGTGTAACATTGCGAGCCAAAAGAACTAACAATGTACAATGTGTTTTGTCGAGCATTATCTACCGAGGCAGGAGCGCCTCTCTAGTAAAGCCTTCCACAACCTAACGACCATACACATGAGATTTTTGATTATGTAGCAGTGTCATTAGGGTTAAGGTTCCTACATTAATGTTCTGACATGAGATGTTGAGGTGATGTACACATGTCGATGCAGGCATCGGGCGTGGTGGTGAGCAACGTGACGTACAGCGGCTTTCAAGGGACCAGCGCTACGGATCAAGCCATCACGCTCAGCTGTTCCAGCGCAGGTTGCTCGGATATCATACTGGACAACATTAAGATAACATCATCGACGCCTGGAAGAACGGTCACTGCCTCGTGCATGAATGCCCATGGATCAGCTACTTTGACCACACCTCCTGTGCCTTGCTTGCTTAGGTAGTTGCTAAGCACATGAGCAAGCTGCGGTTACAACGTGTAGACATACGTCTTCATCAGTTTATAATAACTCCCGCAGATGTCTCCCATTTTCTCACTCAGTTTTTGATATTCTATATGAGTATTTTAATTTCAGTTGATATAAAATGATAATATGTATTCTCCTGTCATTTTTAATAAAAAGGAAGGCTTTTGTCAATAAATCAAATCAACGGATATGAGTCAAAGGTACTGGTGATGATTTGCACGTGTAATGCGAAGTCATGATACGATATGTGGTGTGTACATAAGAAAGAGTCACGTGATCGATACCATTTCTACATCATTCAATTTTGAAACGTATTATTGTCCAAAAGAAAATCTAAACATATTATGTATGAACTTCGATGAAAATATCATGGTAAACTCACTTAATTGATCGAATTAGATATTTCCGTCACAAAGGAATGAAATGTATGGCATCTAGTCTCCCTCTTTCTTTTTGAACCAACCCTCATCAGCAGTGTAAAGTTTGTAGCTTTTGCAACTAATTTTCAATTTATCACGACAAATTAGTTTGTGTCCCTAAAATGGAAGAAGTCAAAATGATAGACTTAATCGGGTAAGCGACGAGAGTGTGCAAAATTACGGGTCTCAATTCACAAATCATTTGACCAAAAAAATTCACAAATCAAAATTTCTACGGGCCATAATAGAAGGTAATCTCAAAGTGCTCTCGGAATAGTGGAAACCGACAAGTAATCTTCTTTAATATAGAAAGTATACAAAACAGAAATTTGGGAAGGTATTTAAACTAAGCTAAATTGCATTATCGTACCAGTGACTAAAATGGGAGTATATCAGTACATAGTTGTTTTATGGTGCAAGAAGTCGCCGTGGTATGTTTCATATGTCTCGTAGTGCCGTCCATTGTATGCCTTAGGAACGCAGAAGGATCGCCTTTCTATAACGTGCATGAAGCTCTAACCGACGAAAGCTGGATAGAAGCAATGCAAGAAGAACTTCATCTGTTCAGAATCAACGAAGTTTAGGAACTTGTACCTAGACTAAAGAATCATCCGGTGATTTGAACAAAATGGGTGTTCAGAAACTAACTAGACGACAAGGAAAAAGTTACCATGAACAAAAGCTTGTGGCCAAATGATATGCACAAGAAGAAGGAATTGACTATGATGAAACCTGTGCACTAGTTGCCATGTCAAAATCCATAAGGCTTCTTATAGCTCATGCTTGTTTACATAACTTTAAACTATTTCAGATGAACGTCAAAGCGAAGTCCTGAATGGTTACATTAAAGAGGAAGTGTTTGTGGAACAACCCCTAGTTTTGAAGAGCTAAGAAAGTCTGATCATGTCTACAAGCTAAGGAAATCATTTTATGGTCTAAAACAAGCACCTCGTGCTTGGTATGAAAGACTGAGTAATTTCCTGGTAGAAAATGAGTTTGAAAAATGTAAAGTAGACACAACTCTCTTCGTCAAAATATAAGGTAAAGATATTCTACTTGTTTAAATTTATGTTGATGATATAGTTTTTTGTTCTTCTAATGAATTGCTTTGCAAGGAATTTTCTAAGTCTATACAAAATCAATTTGAAATGAGCATGATGGGAGAACTAACATTCTTCCTTGGACTTTAAGTCAAGCAGACCAAATGTGACATTCCGAATTTCGGCCCATTTTTTGGGATTTATAAAACGTGAAATTCGTCAGTGTGCTTATAGTAAAAATCTCGCCCGGGAACTGATCACTCTCGGTTATTGTTTTTAAAATTGAGATTTCGCTAGAATCGCACTCGATCGAATTTGGCCGTTATTTAGAGCCCAAACTTTGGTGTCGAATTTCTCGGAGTTTCGGGACGAATTTAATTGGACGGTGTCGATATTATTGTGGTCGGCCTTGAGATTGCTCGAAATATGTGAAAAGTGGATTTTTGACCGGGTGTGAATTTGGACTAGTAGACCTCCCTCGTGGTAGTTTGATTTAATTAATTTGGCCTTTGTCCCTTATTATATTCTAGGATTAATTTGGACCTTTAGATCGTTTTCAGTTTTAAATATGGGCCCTCGGATCGCAATTATTATTTGAATCTTTATTTATTTATTTCGCGTCTCTCTCTCTCTGGTCACTTTTCCCCCTTCGCACGTTTGTCCCCCCCATCCGTCAGACCTTCTCTCTGTCCTCTCTCTTCTTCTCTCTCCTTTCTTTCTCTCTTCTTTCTTCTTCTTCTTCCTTCTTTCTCCCGCATCTGGTTCTGCTCCTGCTTCTGCTCCTTCTCCCTGTTGCCCGACGCCGACCGCCTGAGCTCGCCTGGCCGCCGCGCGTCGCCGCCGTCGCCAACTAGCTCGACCGCCACGCCGCCGTCCGCCAGCCGCCGCCCCCGACCGGCTGGTCTCCTCCCCTGCTCCAGATCTGGTTTTTCCTCTCTTCCGCGCGCGTGTCTTCCACCGCGCCGCCGTCCACCGCCGCGCGCCTCACCGCCCGTCCGGCCGGCGTTCCCGTCGACCCGGAGTCGCCGTCCGTGCCGCCGATCGTCCCGAGCCCGACCGTTCCCATCTCTCCCGTCCCTTCTCTCTTTCCCTCCAGCTCGGGCCAGATCTGGCCGCGCCGGCGTTGCTCGCCGCCGCGAGCCGCCCCGGCCAATCGTCGCTGCCTCAGCCACCGACTGCCACCCCACCGCTTGGCCGGCCATCCAAAGACCACTCCCCTCCCCGCTCGCCACCGCTCCTCCCTCGCTCGCCCTCACCGCCCCGCTCCCGCCGCCACCGTGGCCGCCGCCGAACGCCGGAGCCGTCTGCTGTTCCTGGCGAGGCCCCCGCTTGCCCCTCTCGCCGCCGAGCCGCCGCCACCTCGCCCGGAGCTCCCTTGCCGCCGCCGTCGCCCGGCCGTGTTCGAGAGTCTCACCGATCGCCGCCGCTGCGGCTGTCCCGTCGATTTCCCCCGCTGCCCAGCCCCGTTTTCTTGCTCAAGTCGAGGTAAGCGACACCCTAAACTTCGCCTAGGACTTTGGGTATGGCTAGACTTGATTTAGGGTTGGTTAGTGTGGAATTGGGTGGCCGAATTTGAGGCCAATTAGGGGTCGATGCCGGTTGATTTTGGTAGCTGATCTTGTGCCCGCATGTTACTGATTTTGTGGTTGTTCGTGTGCCCATTTGCTGCTGAATATTGGCTGGATTGTGAGGAATTTTGTCGGGCCTATATATGCTAGAATGGCGGTCTAATCGGTGACGTTTTGTGGGCTGAAATAGGACTGATTTGGGGCGGTTCAAGGCTGAGTTTGTGGCTAATCTCGAAATAGTATTTGTGCTAGAACTCATGTTAACATGGGTGTTTGATTGTGTTTGATTTAATGTTCGATTGGCGATTGTTCGTGTTGGTTGTTTGCGCTAATATTGATGAGTTGTGACTTGGTTTGTGATCTAAAATATGATGTTATGTTGGCTATGTCGCGGCTGAATTGTTGTTGCTCTTGCGCTCGAGTTTAGAGCTCGTTTTTCGAGTCAAATGTGCTTGGTTGTGAGTTGGAATTGTTGGCCTAGGTGGGGCCGGGCAAGCTTGGCGAATTGTGGCTTGAATTGTTGAAAGTGTGATCAATTTATAGTATGTATGGGTTGAATTGATTCAGTGGCGTTTGAGCTCGGTTGTATGATGTTGAGTAGGTGAAAGTTTGTTTTTGAAAGGTCCTGTGGGGTGCTGACCCGGGACAGAGCCCGGATTGATCGGAGGGCTGACCTGTGGGGTGTTGACCCGGGTCGTGTGAAAGTTTGTTTGTGAAAGGTCCTGTGGGGTGTTGACCCGGGACAGAGCCCGAATTGATCGGAGGGCTGACCTGTGGGATGTTGACCCGGGTCGTGTGAAAGTTTGTTTGTGAAAGGTCCTGTGGGGTGTTGACCCGGGATAGAGCCCGGATTGATCGGAGGGCTGACCTGTGCTGACCTGTAGGGTGTTGACCCGGGTCGTGAAAAAGTTGGGTGGATGTGCATGTGTTTTGTGCATGGATGAATTGGGTGAACGTACGTATGTATGGCGTTCGAGTGATTGTGATGTACTTTTGGGATATTATTGCATTATCATGATTTGACTAATGTGCAGTGTGGGCATGTGATTGGATGGCGAGGTAAGTCCATTTATGTGAATTATATATATGTAATCGGCTAGATTGCATGCTGAACTTGTCTGGGTACGCATTGGCCTATGTGGGGTTTAGGGGTCTGCTTATTGAGATTTATCTCATCCCCCGTTGTTAAACATTTTCAGGACTGGAGTGATGGATAGTCGTCATGTACTGTTCGGAGACCGGGAGTGACTTTGGGCATTTGATGTTTCATTCCACCTTTTTGGTTGTCCCCGTTTTGTATAGTGAAGTAGGTTACCCAACCTTTACCCCCCTTTTTTTGATGAGCGTGTTTCTGCTGTTTGTATCTGCCAAGTATTCTTATAAGATGTGTATATTAATTTTATGGTAGTGCTATCCCTTTGTCATTATTTATTGTTTGGGTTATTTAATTTCGCTTCCGCTTGCCTTTATCGTTGGGTGTTTCGTTTGGGTCGGCGACACGTCTTGGGACGTCGCGTTCAATACGACCGTGGAAGGGGTGTCGCGAGCCCGTTGGGGTTCGGGGCGTGACACCAAAGATGGTCATTTTATATGTCAAGAATAGTACACCAGAGAGAGAGTAAAGAAGTTTGGAATGCTAAATAGCAAGAAGACAGAATCACCATTGTCTCATTCTTCCAAGTTGGATAAGGATGGCAACGGTAAAAAGGTTGATTAGAAGTTGTATAGAAGCATTAGGATTATTGTTATACCTTATTGCTTCTAGACTTGATATTTTGTTCAATATATGTATGTGTGCCATATTCCAAGCAGACGCAAAAGAATCTCATCTTACTGCTTGAAAAGGATTGTTAAATATGTTGGAACATATCTAATGTTAGGATTTTGGTATCCCAAAGGTTCATATTTTACGCTTTTGGTTATTCTGATGCTGACCTTGATAGTTGTAA